GAGGAGAGTAAAAAAGGAAGAGACAAGACGTTGACTTATGGCTTCCACATGCTCATTCACACTTGAGCCTCACACACATAGGAACACACATGTACACCTCCCCCCATCTCACACACACATACACACACACACACACACACACACACACACACACACACAAAACACACACACACCAACATAAATAAATAGGAGAAATAAGACAACATAAGGAGTTGGAGAATATTCAGCTATTCTTGAAGTTAACAAAATTCAAATATAAACAAGTATGCAACATGACCCTGCATTAATTTAAACAAAGTTTATTAATAATACTGTCAATGCTCATGGTGTGATATTTGGAAATGTTACAGTGATATACCACTGCTTTCACCTAGTGAAATCATTCTGAAAAGAAATTTGGCAGCAAATATAAAGGCATAAAAATTAATATACATTTTTGACCCAGAAATCCAACTTTTTGGATACAGCCCAAGTATATGATCCAAAAGAAAAATTTAAAAATCTATATGTATAAAGATATTTATAGTTGTACTACATTATAAGCAAAAACTCAAAACAGACCAAATGTCCAATAGATGGAGGATGCTTAGTTAGACTTTGGTACATTAATGCAGTGGAGTATTTTATTTCCACTAAGAATGACAATTATGAGAAGAATGCAGAAATAAGGGCCCTATGAAGTGATGAATGGAAGCGCAGCACTCTCAATGATGCCTCCACACTGGTCACATCTATGTAGTAGTGTGCCTGTATAACCAAGAGGGCTGGGGAAGGCTGTGAGCGGACAATTTACAAGGCTGATGTTTCTGTTCTGTTGGTTAAGATTCTAGGATATTTCTTTCTACTTTTATTTCACACATATATATTAAGAAAATTAATCCTCACTTTGGCAAATAAAAGAAAAATTTTTATTAATATCTTTCCTTGCCCTAAATGACTTTTTCTGGTTTTTCATTTGTTTGTTTTTTGTTTTGTTTTGTTTTGTTTTTTTTTTGGTTTTTTCGAGACAGGGTTTCTCTGTGTAGCTTTCCTGGAACTCGCTTTGAAGACCAGGCTGGCCTCGAACTCACAGAGATTCGCCTGGCTCTGCCTCCCGAGTGCTGGGATTAAAGGCGTGCGCCACCACCGCCCGGCCTGTTTGTTTGTTTTTTGTTTCTGTCCTATTTTATGTTTAGATATGGAGGAAGTTACCACTACAAAACCCTAGCCACATGCTTTGTTAGTCAGACTTTATGTTGCTGTGACCAACACCTGAGAGAAACCAATGAAGGGAGGAAGGGTTTATTTGGACTCAGGGTTTCAGGCCACAGTCTGCTGACTCCTTTGCTTATGGCCTGAGGTAAAGCAGAACACCATGGCGGCTGCAAAGCAGGGAAACAGGAAGGGCCAGGGAAAGCTCTATCTCCTCAGATCACCCCTCCATTGTCCCATGACCCAGTTCCTCTAGCTAGACCTCATCTCCTAACGACTCCAGCACTTCCTAAGACAGTGTTACTACCTGGGAACCAAGCCTTCAACACATGAGCCTGGGAGGGGACATTTCATAGTCGAACAACAGCACATGAGCCTGGGAGGGGACATTTCATAGTCAAACAACAGCACATGAGCCTGGGAGGGGACATTTCATAGTCAAACAACAGCACATGCTCTTCTCTTTCACCACTGTGGAGTTTCTCAGCCTATTCCTACATACTAACTGCATGCACTCATGTGTGTATCATGTGTACAAACTCAATATCTTAATTACACTTACTGTAGTGGGAGCAGAGTTTCCTCATAAATATGACTGTTGAAACCTCTCAATGCAGACAAATACCTGTTTCTTATCTTTTATTACCATGGGAGAATTGTCCTCTACAGAATGTCAATCATTCTGATTTCCATTTCTTCCAGCTTTAAAGGGCGTCTTAACTTGGCTCTATCCCCTTTTCTTCTCTCTGGGTGTACCTTAACCTACAAACCTGTTTGACTGCATTCTGCATTGAGGGAAGGAAGCAGTCATCTTCCTTGATGACACATCTCCCCACAGTTGTCTGTGGGTTTCTTCACAGTAATGCTATTCTAAGTCTTCTTATCCACATTATTGCCTGTAGTCTCTCATTCTCCTCTCGGCAAGTCACTGCAGTTCAGCTTCAGTTCTCACTCTCCTGAACTGTCTCAAGGTCAGGAAAACCTACATGCTACCAAATCCAGAAGATGCTTTTCTGTCGTCCTGTTAGTTGATCCCCTCTCTCTTTATCTGAGGTCTTCCTTCATGTGCCTTATTCTTCTTACCAGTTTTCTTACTTCTTCACTCAGTTTCTTCAGACTGTCACCTAAGCCCTTTCTTTTCTTTTTGTATGCTAACTTACCTCCTCTATTCCCAGGGCTTTAAATCTCACTTTTGTGCTAACAACTTCTCAAATGAATAAATATGTCTAACAGAGAACCTCATCTCTTCCTACCTATTAAATGGTATGCTTGACATCTATATTTAGTTTGATAGCACAAAAACTGAAATCACAGTTTTATTCTCAGAATTAGTTAGTTAGAAGGATTCCTGTCTCCCCATTTCAGAAATGGCACCATCTACTTAGTTACTACTATCTACATCACATCACTGTAGATTTTCCCCATGTACTACCATATCTTATAGATTCTACTTCCAGTCACCACCACTCTGCTCCAGACCCCCATTGTTTCCCCCCTGTATTGCTGAAGCAATCTTTTCATGGATTTTCCTGATTTCTCTTTAATCTATTTTCCACAGTATATACTACATCCATTTCTTATAACAATTAGTTTCCTTCCCCAGCTTAAAACATCCTCTGTCATCCTGAATGCAATTAGAAGGAACAGCAAGCCCTTCATTATGCCTGCAAGCCCTGACAGAACGCACCTCTTCCTTCTCTGACACTCCCAGCCAACCTAGCCAGTTTTTATCCTCAGGGTCTCTGTACATGCTTTTCATTCTAGAACTATATAAACAAATATAATCACTGATACTGTTGACTTCTCATGTTGTGTAGTCAACTAGTCATTCTTTATATTACACCTTTTAAAGGAATGTTTCCATGACTTTCATAATTCAATCAAGCCATAGCACTTATAGTTATTAATATAACCATGTACTGCTGTTCATATTGTTCTGGTTTTACATTTCTCATTAATATCTATGTCTCTCCTAACTTAGTAAATACTGCATGAGGGCAAAGAATGTATCTGTTTTGTTTATTATTATCTCAGCTCCTAGCATATTACTTAAAACATAGTTGTTGCTCAAGAAATATATTGAGAATGAATAAATAATTGGCATCATTTCATACTATTAGAATGACACTAGTAGGTCATATGGGGACACATTAATGAAGTCATTAAAGAAAAAGAATATTTTAAAATAATAACTGTATAGACTTAAAGGATAGAGTGATTAGATTTTTTATTATGAACCTGTGAAATATGAGTGAGTATACTATAACTGACTTTTATACACAAAGTGTAACAGGAAAAATGAAAGCAACCTCTTCATCTCTGTCCTACTCCATCACACACATGCAAAGAGAAATTTCAAAGTTCAGTGAAAGTATGCAGAAGGAAGCTTATGAGTATGGACTAAGGCCATGCAATTTTTCAACAAAAAGGAAGTAAATTGTTCTTGAGCAAGAAAAGGAGAGAAGGAAAGAAGAGGCAATTAAGAAAGGTAGTTTAAGCTGGGCGGTGGTGGTACATGCCTTTGATCCCAGCACTCTGGGAGGCAGAGGCAGGTGGATCTCTGTGAGTTCAAGGCTAGCCTGGTCTACAGGGTGAGATCCAGGACAGGCACCAAAACTACACAGAGAAACCCTGTCTAGAAAAAAGAAAAGAAAACAAAACAAAAAGGTAGTTTAGGTAAAAATTCAGTGACTTATATAAAGGAAAAATGCTTAATATTAAACTTCACCTTGCTGGTGCTGTTATAATATAAATCCCCATGCTTTTCCCCAGACCTTCAGTAAAGTCTGCTATGTTCACAAGCTCAAATCAACACTAAGTAATCAGAAATGAAAGGAGTCCTACAAACCGTCAAGACACACACAGCTACTCAGGAGACACCATTTTTTCTTTCTTTTCATCTCTGTTTACGCTTGCATGACTTTTATCTAACTGTTTGCTCTACACACTTCATTGGAAACTGTCTTACTCATTTGGAACTGTAGGGATAATTATCATGCTTGCATGACATTTCTCCAACTGCTTTGTCTACACACTTCATTGCAAGCTATCTTACTCACTTGAACTGTAAGGATAACTGTCCCTATTCTAGATTCTGACTACATGCCACATATACCATGTGACTCTACCAACCTCATTGTTCCTATTCTTGCTTCAGTTACATTGTCACCTTGGCACTTGATTCAACATTTATCTATATTAAGTCTCCCCCACTCCACTGTAGTTCCCACTAATCATCATTCTTCCTATTTGTAAATTCACGGTCAGACATTTCTTCTAACCCTGTATAACGTTAGATCAAATCTGCATGAACATATCCATTATTCAGTTTGGGGCTAGCCCACTGCCAGAACTGAGTTGGAGAACATTTCACATCATGCTTTGCACCAACATACAAAAGATGTTTGTCAGGTCAGTCAAAATGAAGCAAGTGATAACAATTATACAGGATGACTGCTACTGAAGTATTAGTTCGGTTCTATTTTTATTTGGAAATATTTGTAATGTTTCCAACCTTTTAAAAATATGAGATGATTCAATGAAATCCTATATTAAATGATTTTTTTTTGTGTGCAAATAATGCATTCTGTCCAAGTCACTCAGAGACTAAGATATGTCTTCCCCCATCCCCGACTCCAGGAGCCCTCAAGATGAGTGCTATTGTTTGTTGAAGAATCCCTGTTTAGGAGTAAACCACTATGAGAAAGCCTCTCTTCTTAAATATGAAAATAACCAGAATAAACACAAATACTTCATTCCATTATATTTAATGAGCACTGTTGTAAGGACAGCTAAATAATCTGACCTACCCATCTAGGAGAGCAATGACGTTCTTCCTGGGCCGTCCAATATTAGGGCCATACAAACTGGCTCTGGAGTAAATCCGGATGGGTTGCAGCAGCCTCTTCAGCTGTATGTAATCCTTTCCCAACTGGCTACCATTTACTGCCCGGCCATGCATGCTCCGATAGTTATTTGGCTCTAGATTAAAAACAGACATATAAATTAGAATGGAGAAGAGCGAGATTCTGCCAGCCCTTTCCTTTCTACAAAACAGTGCTTTTTTCTTACTATCATGAACAAAATAACAAAAGGAGGACATAAGTTATCTTAAGGAACACAGAAACTGTCATGTTAGCAGTGCCAACTTGATGTTTCATTCCTTCCAAACTTATCTTCATAAAACATCACCGAATTCACAAAAGAGACCATATCTAATTTTAGTGATACTTTGTAATGAATGGTACAGTTGGTAGAATACTGTCTCCCCAAATTTGTGTACCAGAACTTCAGAACATGACCTTATTTGGAAATAGGGTCATTGAGGATGTAATGTTATTATGTAGTCACAGGACTAGGGTGGGCCCTACATCTAATAAGTGCTGTGCTTATAACACAAAGGAAAAGGACCTTCAGATACACAGGCACAGGGAAAAATGCTGTGTGATGACAAACACAAAGCCTGGAGAGATGCTACTATGCTAAAGAATTCTGGCAGCTCCAGGAGGTAGGAGAAAGGAATGGAACAGATTCTCCTTCAGAGCTTCCAGAAGAAAGCAAGCACGCTGATGTTTTGATTTCAGACTTGTGGCTTCATAAACAGTAAGAGAAAACTTGCTTCTTTTGTTTTAAGCCATAGTAATTTGTTATTGCAAAGCCTAGGAAATTAATACAAATGGTAAGAAGGGTTGCCCTCATAAACAGGATTACTGAACACAAATTTAGGAAAAACATCCTTGCTGTTGATCAGTAACATAGTAGCTGAGTGAAATAATTTCGAGCAAAACCACTTACCCCGAGTTTAGCATTGGAAGGATATGAAAAGTCCTAAAAACCAGCAGCTCTTAAGAGTTTGAGGTAGGTGCCCCAAAGCCATTGTCTCAGATAGTTTGAAGCTGGGATTCCAGTAGGGACAAGGCCTAGATAATTAGACTCACATGAAGTTTTAAGAGAAATTTGGGGAACTAAGACAACCACAGTGAAAACTGATAATCTCTCTTACAAACCCTTTAATCCTGAAGGCTGTATATATTCAGGGGGAACTGTAGAGAGTGTTAGCATGAATATGACCCGTGGACTCTCACAGGAGAGACACAGGATGGCACTTTACTAACCAAGTATTTACTGTGTTCCCCATTCGTCAGCATATCTACTGGCCTGGCCTTACTGGCTCAAGCTAAGTATGCACATCTCTGATCAATTATTGGCTCATCATGAAGTTGTATCAATGTGAAGGCAACCCCTAGAAAAAGCTGACCTTAAAATATCTTTAAAGGATTAATTAAAAAACAAACAAACACACATTTAATATGTGCTGGTGCTTTGTTTACATGTATGTGTGTTGCATGTATGTCTGTGTACCATGGGCACCAGAGCCTCAGAGGCCAGAAGAGGATATAAGATCCTCTGGGACCGGAGTTAGAAAAGGTTATGAGCCACTCTATGGATGTCAGGAACTGAAGCCAGGTCCTCTGGAAGAGCAGACAGTACTCTTAACCACTGAGTCATCTTTCCAGCCCCTAGAGGATTAAGTTTTTTAAATGGACATATCAGTAACTACCTGATACAAGAGTGGTGGACTAGAGCATTAGACCCGTAACTGAAAAACCAAACCAAAAGTGATAAACTCAACCTCTGGGATGGACAACTAAGGATTCTGCATTCCTCTAACACATTATCTAAAATGCATTACTTTCAAGAACAAAATTATGAGGTATGAAAAGAAAATAGGAAAGTGCTACCATCTACATGAAAGGAAAAAGAGCAGTCAATAGAAACTGTCTCTCTGAAGCCTTTAACATTAGATTATTTTGCAGATAAGAACTTCAAAATTATAAATATGTTCAAAGAACTAAAAGGAATAAAAGAATTAATAGAAAGTATGTTACTGACTTATATAGGGATATAAAGACAATATAAAAATAAAATGGGAACTCTTGAACTGAAATGATACAGCACATACAAGAAAACAAAATGAGATTAACACTGAGTTTTAAAATCAGCAACAAAGGAGGCAAAAAGAGAGTGAGATGATACACTCAAAGTCCAGTGAAACACTCCACTGAAGCAACATTTCTTTGTTCATCTGGATTTAAAATAGTGCTGCTCAAAAACAGATGGTGATAAGTTAACTCTTCACAAATTTTATGTGACCTTATGTATATCTGTATAATCATACAGTTACTGATAATAATAAAGAAATTAATTTTAGGGGCTGAAGAGATGACACCATTATTAAGAGCACTGGCTGCTCTGCTCTTACAGAGGAGCTAAATTTGGTTCCCAACACCCACAGGGCAGCTATCTTCTATCTTTAATATCAGTTGCAGGGTATCTCGTGCCCTCTTCTGGCCTCCATGCACATACATGAAGGCAAAACACTCATACACACAAAATAAAAATAACAAGTACATCTTATTTTAAACAAAGAAGATAACTTTAATTCTTTGGCACACAAAAATTTACCAGTTGTTAAAGATGAGAGAGCATACTGAAGAGATATATAGACATGCTTATTTTATATAAATAATTAAACCATGGAGATGGAGAGACATTAAGAGCCAGTTAAGGGTACCAGCTGCACTTTAAGAGGATCAGAATTTGATTCCCAACACCCACACAGTTGTTAACAACCCTCTGTAACTCCAGCCTCAAGGGACCTGATGCCACTTTCTGGCCCCCTTGGGCATTGTGCTCACATACATACTGGTAAAGCACCCACCCACACAAATAAATAGACAAAATCTTGGAAGAATATAAGTATCTTCAATGTTTTCAGAGTTGATTAATACTTTGTAATGAAAGCCTTTAAGGAGCTAGACTCAAAGGCTTTCTCCCAGAGTTGGAAGGAGATTCTACAACCAGCTAAGGATCTAATCTGAGGGATAAGGAATGAGTCTATGCATTGTGCTCTTTCAGTCCATGTCTCTTTATTGTTTTAGTAAGCTTCTCTAAATCCACAGCTTCTTTCAGCTCTCATTCTTAGCCCCTCTCTTACCTGACTATCCACACATTTCTAACAAGAGACTCCTTGCAATCCTGAGAAAAGTTTCAAAACTCTCAAGGTCATAGCACATGCCTAGAATAGACAATAAGGAGCAGAGCCATCACCATGGTAACCCAAGGTTCCAAGGTCTCAGGACCAGAGGGAGGGGATGTAATGCCCAGTGCAACAAACTCTGAGGCATAGCTTCTTATCAGCAGACTTGGAAAGTGAAGAATTGACAGGCTTTTAGGGTGTTTTGTGTTAGTAACCTTGGTAGACACCTGCAACTCTGACCTTGTGTATAACTGTAAAGTTTTAAACTTATGATCTATTTACAAATGCCTTTCGTCTAGTTTGAACTTTCTCTGAGGTAAAAATGAGCTAAATGTGTGCAGCTTGTGTTAGACTGAGAAGAGATTATTATTTTCTGTGTTAGTCTGAGCTCAGATTGGAAGTATACTGTGTATTATGAATTTCCTCTTAAATACAAAGTTTTCTGCTCTTACAGAAAAACATGTATATAATAATTATGGAAAACAAAGACTTCTAATATTTTTGTGATATCACTCCTCAGTATTAAAATAGCAAATTAATATTATTTCCAGACTGGATTGTGTCACAAAGTTTGGTTTCAAAAACTGGTATTTGAGTTGCTGACTTGAGTTTCATTTTTAAAAATTAAATTAATTTTGCTTGGGATTAAGACAGAATTTTCAATATTTTTCTGAAGTGGCCATAAGCATACTTCTGTCATTTTGTACTTTTATTTATATTATATGCCATGAAGTGTTCTAAATATTGATGATTACATAGTCAAAGTTATTACGAGCTGCTGGTAGCAAAAGGCCAAGGGAGTATTCAGCAAGTGACAGCTACTGTTCAAAAGGTCAAACCACCATAATCAGGGATTCTGCTGACGTCCCATGGGAGGCCTAACCTTCTTGTAAGAGGGACTAGGAGGTGGATAGGGAGGGGGAGGCTAGAGGGGAGGGAGGAGGGAAAAGGGGAATCTTTGATTGGTATGTAAAATGAATAAAAAATTGTGGTATTGTATTTCCCCAAATATTGTGCACCCTAATAAACTTATCTGGGATCAGAGACAGAGCAGCCACAATATTAAACATAAAGGATAGGCAGTGGTAGCACACGCCTTTAATCCTAGCATTCCAGAGGCAGAAATCCATGTGTTCAAGGATACAGACAGGCATGGTGACTCATCACGCCTTTAAAGCCAGAAAGCAAGCCTTTAATCCCAGGGAGTGGTGGTAGAAAGCAGAAAGGTATATAAGGCATGAGGACCAGAAACTAGAAGCATTTGGCTAGTTAAGCTTTCAGGCTTTGGAGCAGTAGTTCAGCTGAGAGCCATTTAGATATGAGGACACAGAGGCTTCCAGTCTGAGGAAACAAGACCAGCTGAGAAGTTGGCCAGACTCTCTAAGATTCCTGCTACAAAAAATTTTCTTAATAAAAACTGAAAAAAAAAAAAAAAAGAAATGCGTTCAGCCTTTCTCTGTGCTCTTGATGGTGGATATCTGTTCCATGTCCCTGCCTTGACTCCCCTGCAATGATGGGTTGTAATTTGGAACTGTATGCCTAAAACACTTCCCCTGAAAGTTTCTGTTGTTGAGCATTTTCCAATGGCACTGGGATAATCTTGAATTAATTCTTAGTCATTGCACATTTAAAAATTTTCTGTTAGCAAATTTTTTTCAACCCCCACATTCAGTTACACAACCCACAGAGGGTCACAGTGCACAGTTCAAGAAGCTGGGTAGAAGATTTGAGTACCATTACAGGTTAACAAACATTTCACCTAACAATAGCAGAATACACTTTGTTTTCTGGGGCACATAGAACAACTTTTTTTTTTTTCAGAGCTGATGACCGAACCCAGGGCCTTGCACCACTGAGCTAAATCCCCAACCCCCAGAACAACCTTCTAAACAGAGCCTATGCCAGGACATATACAAATCTCAAACTTTAAACATAATTTAAA